AAAGTCCCAGGGGTTACAGTTAAATATATTTGGAACTTTACATAAACTTCTCAGGCCCTGGCCCACGGTCGTTAAATAGTTTCTTGCACTGAAATGAACAAGGCAGTTCATACTCGGCAATATAATGCCCTCACCTAAGCAGGCGTCAGACACAGTGAGACACTGGCCGGCAGTGCCACGAATGGGCTCCATCTCTAACTTTAAAAGGCACTCTAGAGAATGCCAGTGTTTTCAGTAACGACAGTGATGGAAGCGTTTCTGCACAGTGGTTACTTCAGTCACCGTGCCTGGGTTCAAACCTAGCACCACCGAGGACAAGCCGCACAAGCTCCTTCTTCAGCAGCCCCTTCCTCCAAAAGTCCCTCAGTGACCATCACCACGACTGTTCAAGCCAGTCCCAGCCATTTCACAGGGAGCCAGTTCCTGAATGTCACCTGCCAGCTAGTCTATCACACCTCCTGAGGTTCTGTTGGCTTGGCGGGTATTAACAGCCACTACCAGGGCTTCCTAGGAGCCTGTGCCACCTTCATCAACATCACAGCCCATGCCATGGGTGGAGCCCTTGTTCTACAGGGCAGGCAACCCAGGCTTGGCTAGCAAGTGCCCATTACTGGCAGACCCAGGGAATCACAGTAATTCAGCTGCTTCCTCCAACTCCACTGAAACAAAACTGAGTCTGGACAGCGGCGTGGGTATCAAGCTGCATGAGACAGTTATATAATAACTGTCTTTAATACAAGACAACCAGGTGGGCTCTACACTGCAGTTCAGCACAGCAGCTCGGAGATCAAACCTGCCAGGTGTGGGCTCCTCTTATAACAGTGTGGGACAGGATCCAAGTTCTGTCATCTCTCCCTCTGGGTTACCTGCAATGAGAATTCTGCTTCCCTCGAGTGCCAGGAGAGCTCTGAGTGAGCATTCAGAAGAGATGCCATACAAGGAAGCAGTGGTTACTTTTGCTCCACAACAGGACTGGTGCATCCCCAGGCCCATCTCTAAGCCCCACCTGGGGTACAGGAACTCTCCAACTCCATAGCAAGATGCAGATTACAGCCAGATGTCTGACAGCCTACACTGATGCTTTCTGGTTAGTGGGAGCTAGGGCCAGGACTCAACACATCCAGTGATCGATGGGAAGAGAAGCCATCGGAAAATGTCCCTGCACCCTAGCTGGGACACCTGGCAAGGGCTGGCTGGGCCTGATTAGAGAAAGTGACAAAGAGGATGCTACTACAACAAAAACTAAATCAACAAGAGAGGCTTAAATAACTTCTTCCCAATAAGGAACACTGAAATATATCTATCTCAGCAAAACACTTATCTGCTCTAAATGGAAACTGTCCTTAAGCAGTGCTGTGACTACATCCAAAAGTCGACATGCATTCTTGTTGATAACATGTGTGTGGCAAATTCCAGGACACTCTGAAGTCAGCCCTGGTTAAAGCTTACATTTGTAACAGCGATTATTAAAGTGGACCTCCAAACTACACAGTAAACATCTGTCTAAACACAGATATTAGATTCCTGCTCAGAATAGAAACTTGCACTTCACGGTCCCAGACTCTGCGCTCCCCAAATGACATTACCATCTTGCTCTGACATCTTGGGGAGCACCTCTCGCAGGAACCCTGGAGAAGTGGCTTCTTTGGCTGGCTTTCTGCTCTGGTCTGGTAGCTAAACACTAACATCTTCTATAAGATATCTATGTTCCTTGTAACATCTGCCTGGGTTTCCCAGCACTCTACATCAGGGGCTTAAAACAGACATCCAGCCAGCACAAGGGAGGCAGAAACCACAGTGTGTACAAATCCTATCACAGTAGTTCCAAGACCCTCGCGGCTCAAAATTAAATCTGATTTCTGGAATTGCACTAAGTAATTTAATGCAGTCATGTGAGCTTAATCAACCCCCTACCTCTAGTTGTCATGCTTAATCAGAAGTAAATGAAGCTTACAGAGATCCTTCAAGCCCTAACACTCTTGTTAAAATATGGGAGGATGCTGGTCTAGTTCCCACCACATGACGGCTCACAACTGTTCGAAGAGCACCAGGCACATATGCACTGTACACACACAAACACAGGCAAAACTCTCACACATAAGACACACTTGAAGCCATCTTTAAAACAGTACCATAGGCAGATCTGATTTGGCAAGTAAGGCAGTTTGCTGAGGCTAGAGGAGCCTAGACCGGCCTTCTTTGGGGGTTAATACACAGCTGGCCATGGTCTTCTGGCAGTCCCCAGATGACTTAAGTCACTGTCAAAACACAAAGGGCATGACGCCAACAAACTTGACTTTACATGCGCAAACTCAGTTTCTGTTGCGGTCAACTGTTGAAGCAGAGGGTTCCTCTGAGTCAGCGTGATGACAGCCTGCCTGTCTGAAAGGAGAGACAGAAGGACGATGGGGATGGGGCAGAACCACCATCCAGGGCAGTCCCTCAGTCATAATGTGTTCTAAGTTTACTAGTGCCCAAGTCTTTAATGGAGAGGGTACCAGGATGGCTGCTGAGATCAACCCTGGCACTTCTTGAAGAGGTAAAGGCATTGCGAAGGGAGGTAAAACAGGTAAGTGATGAGCAGCAGGTGAGGCAGTACCCTAAGGCACAACCTCAAGACTACCAGCTGCGGTAATCCATGCCGTCCCTGATCATATCCACTCACAAACTCCAAGTTTTGTGCTATTTTTTTTCCTGTGTGACACTAGATACTTTGTATTTGGAATTTTAATGCAACACAGATGTCATTTTGCCCATAATATGGACCTTTCTATTATTGGCTATCCCATAGCACTGTGCACTTGGGATCCTGTAGCACAAGGTCTGTGGCAGGAAGGTTCAAGGCACAGAGAGGAAGTGGCTTCAAAGGGCCCTGCAGTAAATTAAACCCAACTCTGAGGAGGTTGTGGCTGCTCCTGTCCTGGCCTTGGGCCACCAGTGCATATATCTTTAAGTCTGGAGCTTGGGGTGGATAGTGTCCTGCAGGATGGTCATAAGGGTTACATGTTCCTCCGCCGATAGCATTAAACACTCAAATTCTTGTTCCTGGGCTGAAATTAGTCAGAATGTTTGAATTTGTCCAGCACTCCTGGGTCTCAGAGTCTAAGCTAATGAGGGTTCTTCCAACAAACTGCAGAGACCCTGGGCCAGAAGGGATATATAGCTCTCTCTTACTGGCCTGCCCACACTTCCAAACATGTAACAACAGTCTAGGAGAAAATTCACTGGTATCAGATGGGTAGAGACAGTCTCAGGCTGGCATCATGGAGAAAAGGCTAGGGGCTGCCAGAGCTGGAAAGCCAACACTCAAGACAATTCTCCTTAGTCATCAGCCAAGTCCTTAGGGCACCTGCAATGTGGGTTATACAGTCAATTAATTATCTCCCTCTACCTGGGTTCTAATGCATTTTCAATGGAAGCTGCCCTTTAAGTTTATTACAGACATCAGTCAAGTCAAAGTGAACCTCAATATCCAAATGCACGCCACATGTCTAAAGTGAGCTTGGACATTTAGATCGAAGTATGAATGTCTGCAATTCCCGGTCATCATCGCTCAAGCATCAAGTTGGTTGTACCTTTCTCATCAGTAAGTTTTGGGGACTATCACATGAAGACAACACTCCAAATATCAAGTATGACATCAGAGGAAACATCAGGAAAACATAAGACTCACCGAGGTCAGAGTTTTTGCTTTGCTTTTGAGGGCAAGGTCTCACGATGTAGCCCTGACTGGCTATGTAGCCCTCTCTAGTCTCAAACTCAGAGGTCTGCCTGCCTCTGCTTCCTCAATGTTGGGATTAATTATGCACAGCGCTGCACCTTCCTGGGGCCAGAATTTTTGTTCATTCTGTCCGCTAACATACATTAAAGCACCTAGAACATGTTAAAGGCTCAACACTAAGTTGACTCTAGAAACTGCTCTTGCCAGGAAGTATTTGTGACAATTGAGCTTACAACAGCCAGCACTGGATCCACCGCTGGAAATGACGTGAGTTGCCTCCAAACAGGCAAAGGGACAGACGGTTCTAGGCATCTAGCTTTTGAATATTTAAACAATATTTCAGTCCGCATAAAGGTTAGGAAGAAATGGAATGGAGCATCTCCTGCTTTGCCAGATGGGCATGGATGGCATGGCTTCTGGGAACTCTTCCATTTGGCAAATGTGCCTGAGGTTCCAGCACCTCTCTCAGAGCCGGGGACACCATGCAGAATGGGGAGAAACACACCCTGTTCTTTACCTGTGTAGATGGAACAGCATGCAGGGCCGGTCAGTCTACTCCTTGCTTTCTGCACACTGGAAACTAAGATCCAGAAAATGGCACTCGCCCAAGGCCAACCCACCAAACACTAGGAAAGGACAAGGGTCTGATGAATGAATGCTAAGCGGGCAGGGTGGGAAGAATGCTGCTTCTCTTTTTCAGAGCACCTCCAAGATTTGACTTCCTGGCAGGACACTGTACATCTGCATGTACTTGTGTACAGCATTTACAAGAGCAACTACTGAAGGTACTTCCAACTTCCATTACCCTCCCTCCCCTCCTCTCACTGGGCTGCTTAGAACCTGGCAGGTAGACTTGTGAATACCTGGACAAGCTGTTGGGCCTGCGGTCCCCTATCTAGAGGAAGGTCAGATAGTGGGCTCCAGGATGCAAAGTGGTAGTGTCCAACTACAGGAAATGCCTCCTATACACAGGTTAAAGGCCCTGGAGCAAACGTAATACAAGCTTCTTTGAGTCATTGCCTGGGAGAATGATAAAGTCAATCTGCAAACTAGACTCTAGGCAGCACAGATGGAGTTGAGATTTCAGGTAACAACGCCCTCAGTCTTTTGCACTGTTCTCAAAACCCACAAGGCAATTCTTGACCCAGCTAAGTGTCTACTCTCTCAAGAGGAATCAACTGCAAATAGCAGACACAGGTGGAAAGAGGTTCCAGGACTACACACCAAACAAGGTCCAAGTAGCCTGCTCCCCATTATGGACAAAATACAGTCCTTTCACAACTGTTTACAAAGTGTTTATTGGTTACAATGATATAGAATGTATCATCCAATTCTCCCCTGGTTATCAGGTGTTTTAAATAACATGAAAAAAATCTTTCTTAGCCATATAACAAGCAGAGGATGTATCCATTCTAAGAGCGCAAAATACCAAACATCACTCTTTTATGCCTGAAATAAACTGTCAGGGCTACATTGGTTATAAAAAAAAAAAAATCAACGGAACAATCCCTTTTGTATGTCAAATTGCAAATTTTAATGTTTTCATTAGAAGTCTTTAAAGCACTCTGCAACAAGAAGCAACAACTAACAGCAAACCAGTACAGCAGACACTGTCCAGATTAACAATGCAAACAAAAATGCAAGATGTAAATCACACAGTACAATTGAAGCACCCAAAACAATTTAAATAATTTTAAATATTTTATTTTTAAACTGCAACAAATGCTTTATACAGTATTTCAACATAAAGTCTCCTTAACAGAAATGTAACACAATGGGAATGATAGTGAAAGGGTAAAGTGGCACAAATTCATCAAACAAGTTTTGAACTACAAATTTTAAGAGGTAGATTACTTTTAAGGTTGAGTACAAAACACAGTATGAGTAAAATGCAGCCATTTTCCACCAACTCAGTCATTAATGTGGGGGAAGCATCAGGACTCATGGAGAAGTGGGAGTGACGCACTTCCGAAGGAGGAGCCCAGTCTGTTGCTTTCAATCTACTGAGAGTGACGTGTAAGCTGGTGTGCTGATACAGACAGCTATACAGGCCTGGATGCTTCCCGTTCTCTGATACACTGCTACACAGCATCTCATAATATAACAGCTATAAATTAGTGCCAGGCAGTAAGAGGCTAACACCCATTTGGATAGATAAACATGACTAATAGAGGCATAAAAAGGAGTCCATATCCAATCTGGTTTCCTCTGCATTATGCTGACAATCTGCTTGTGATTTTTAAGAGGCAAGGGGTAGCGATCAGCTAAATGCCTCTCTATGTAATAGACATGTAAGAAAGGCATCAAGGGCTGGTGTGTAAGCGAGCATTTTGAGGAGAGTGCACCGATCTGTCACCCCTGAAATTGAGGACCACTGATAAACAAGAGCTTGCTTTGCAAGGTTCATGTCAATCGCTCCCTTATCTGCTCTCTGCCACTCAAGGGCCGGCCGCACTCAGAGCTGAGTTGCCAGTCCGGTGATGAGGAAGGAGTCAGTCCATCTAGGTCGTCTTATGGCACCCTCCTCTTTGGACCTCAATCCCCTGAGAGCCCAGCACACATGTGAGCACACCAAAGAGACAGATGCCTTACTCTAACCAGAGCAAGAAGCCTGTTGGCAAGCAGCTGTACGGTACAGCTTTTGAGTCAGCTTCGACTGGTCTTGCAAGCGGGGTAAGTTCGTATCCTGTGACGTAGTGCTTATCTTAAGTTGAGCATGCAATGTCTTTTAGTCAGTTAAGATTTGTATTGTGGGGGTGGGGGAAAGGGCTTTTCTACAGGAAGTTCCTAGAAAATAAGAAAACTGAAGATAAATGACAACATAACACAACCTTGCATGAACTGACCATGTTAAAGAAAAGGGTGAAGAGACTATAAGACAAATGTCACCAAGACAGAAACACATAAATGACTCCAGTTTAAGAAACTCCATTCCTGCTCCAAAGACACAGAGCTGTTTCCCACCCATGTGTGTGTGTGTGGGGGGGGAGCTGTTAGGGGAGAGGGATACTTTGTTAATTCAGCACTTGGCAGGGATTATGGAGATCCTGTCTGGAGTTACTTCTTTCCTACTTTTCTAACTTCTGGACAAGGGGGTGGGGGTGAGGGTGTCATGGAAAATAAAAACATTGCTTGGATAGAGCAGTCCTTTGGATTGCAAGGAGGAACATGTAAGAGTCTGATTTCCTCTCTGGAAAAAAGTTCTCAGCAACATATCCAAAGGCAGCAGCAAGAAGGCTCAAGCTGGCTGTGCTACAAACTAAAGGCAAGACTCACCTGCTTTGTGAGTGAGTGTGTGTAAGTGAGATTCTTGAGAAGGGGGAGAGGGAGAGAGGGAGAGCGTGTGTGTTTATGAGAAAAGCATTTGGAACACATGCTTTTTTTTTTTTTTTTTTTTACCCCCAGAACAACATACCAGCTGGTGCTCCAGGAAGTGGCCAACTGATAATCTGTGGAGTTCTGGGCTCAACGCTGTGTTCTGGTTACACGCATGTGGCTAGTGGCAGCCGTGTCCTTGAAAAACTGCAGAACCCTACACTGGCTTTCAAATAATCATGGTTTGCTGCAATCAACAAGCAGGAAGGAATGAGTTGCAAGTTCTGCAGTGCAGAGAACAGCAAATCCCTACACATGGGAGCTCTGTGAACAGCTGCTTGCATCATGGAGTCTCCTCTAAGCCAACTGAGAGAAACACTGGAGCAGAGGACCACTGTCAGTAAACATTCCTCCCTTGTCACCATACAACATCCAAGCAGGAGAATGAGCTCAGTCTAGGCTGTATCAGTCCTGAGTTAGAGGACACCTGGGGTACATATGCCAGCAGCCAAGAATCCTACCACTGCCTACATTTGCTATGGGAGTAGTACTAACTAAAACACACTCTGCAGAAATGCCCAGTCATGTGTTTAGACAGTCAAACATCATGACCCATTGGACATGGGTTGCAGCCCCACTGTAAGTGGCTTGGATAAAGCCCCTTACCCTGCAGATCTGTCTGCAACACTGGGGCAGAGGCTCACAAAGGAAAAGCATTAGCCACCAGGGAGGGACACCTACCGCATAGTCTATTATTGAGTGCACTACTCATGCTTTTGTTATCTGTTGCATTAAGTGATTCATTTTAGGCCAACTTTAACTCCAGCAATGTAATTCTGTTAACAGTTTAAAGTTACTGGAGCAAAGAAGAGAGATGTATCTCGGGGCATTTTAGGCTTAGGGAGACTTTAAAAATACCATCTAAGAGTGAAGCAGCGAGTGAACTTTATACATACACTCTCAGCTCTTACATTTTCATACATTCACCCTTGAAAAGTCTGAGCAGGATCCAGTATGAAAGAGGAAATTCTTTTAGAAAATACTAGAACAGAGTACATTATAAAACATCAACCACTGTTCTACATGATAACCCACAAAAATGATGGTTCACCAATGTTCCGTTGGTGCAGAATTCTCTAGAACAGTGGCCAGTACCAAGCAGGGAACGCTGACAACTGAAAACAGTGCTTTCTATCACCACAGCCAACTCCACGATGCCTCCCTCCTATGCACCAGCGTGGCCAAAGATGACCAGATCTACAGCAACTTCAACAACCAAGCACGTTTTGAATTCCTTTTAAATCCTTGAAATCAACCTTTGTTGGTGCCCACTGTCTAGAGCTGCTTTCTTCTGCTATGCTTTAAGGCACACTTAGCACCAAGAACTATACCTGACCGGTCATACAGTGACAATGGAACCTTTATATGCCTAGGTCTTCTCTAAAACAAGTCACTCCACAGCTGTTCCTAACTCTTTTTGCTTCCAACACCCAGAATTATAGCTGTGACAACCCAGAATCAAGGCAGGCTGCATACAAGATGTCCAAGTATTTGCAGTGATGCCTTCTGATGGCCACTGACTGGGGACATGGGCACATTATTTGGGAATTCCAAGTGTCAATGTTAGCAGCCTGAACTATGGCCACATCATCCTGTCTGTCCCTGAGAACCGTTTGTAATATGGGGAGAACATGGAATAAGGCAGCAAGGTCAGCTCAGATGCAATGAAACTTAATGTTACCGGGAAAGCACTGAGCCTGAGGACCGCAGGCCCTGCGCCCTGTAATCTCAGTGCCTATTCCACTCTCCTTGTCCATCAGAACCTTGACTGCTGATCACACTATTAATGCAAGCAGAGGGCTGGAGGGGGAATATAAGGCATTTTTAAGATATATGGTATTTTATTTTGAGCAATGTGGCAAATTTTTAAAATTCAAACACTAGCAAATGGAAGCATTAATAATAAACACAGTCTTAGACATTAGGAACTATGTTTAAGTCACAAACTATTATAAAAGAGTGCACTGTAGTTGCTAATGGACTTGTGACCCACTTCACCCTAAGGAATGTAGGACCAGGAACCAACATGAGTGGCACTGAAACATTGCCCAAAATGTGAATCTTTTCACACGGGGAGATGGGTTCAAGTTCCATCTGGAAATTAAAGAAATGGTACCACTTTGTGAGTACTAAGTCTGAAAAACAAAGTATTTATTCATCTGTACAACAGCCAAAGCAGCAAGGGTATATATGCTACAAATTATGCAACTGCCACTTTGCTAAAATGCTTGTGTCAACATTTTACAGGAGGGGAAACAAAAACATCCTCCAAGCCGGCCACAGCTCTCCTGGCAGTCTCACCTCCCCGAGCTCTGGGCTTACCTCAAGTCCTTCAGCTCGTGCCTGGCACTGCTGTCTTCTCTCCTGCTTTCACTCAGGTCCGCAGCAGCTGCCAGCTGAAGGCTTCTGGTAATTGGGCCCCCACTCCGCTCTCTAGATTTTACCATGAAGCGGTCTGTTCTTTTCTTACTGGCCAGAGCAGTCTTGCTTTGTAGAACAGCCTTGCTCTTCTGCACTCTCGCGTGCAGGTTTCGGGATGATTTGCTTGAGAGCTGAGCAGAATGACTCTTGGCAACAGCTTTGGATTTCTTACCCTCAACATGAGTTATTTTGGCCATTCTTACAGGACTGGAGTTCCTCAAAGACGAAGAGCTTGCCTTTTTGGATTTTACTGAAGCTGCAAACTTGACATTCTGTCTGGATCTGAAGGATGAGGAGGGCAGTGAGGCTTGGGCAGGGCCTGAGCTCCGAGCTCTGGTCTTGCCCAAGGGCGCCTGCGTGCTCTGCATCTTAATCTCTGTGTCTGCTGTCCGTCTCCGGGGATTACTGCTATTGTTTCTGTCACTGCTGGCAGGTGACGTGTGGCTACCTTTCTTAGATGAATGGGAAACTTTTCTTTTGGAAGGAGATAGGGGCTTTTTAGGGCAGCTGAAGGCGGCGTGCTTGTTGAGGCTGCCGATGTATGTGAACTCCCTGTCACAGTAAGGGCAAATGTGTGAGGATACCTCGGAAGTGTCCTTCAGGTCTGTCCTCTGCTTGGCAGACCTGTTCTTTTGCAGGATCGCCTTCTGCACCAGCTGGTTCTTTTTCTTCAGCGCACTGAGCTTGAGCTTATTTGGAGACATTTTGCTGAGTTCCACATTGAAGCTCAGTCTCTTGGGCTGCCCCATCCGTCTGAAGGCATTTTTCCCAGAGCTGTCTAAAACCACCACTCCGTTTTTGGGCTGTACAGTTTGTTTCAGGGGCACTGGGTTTTTCTTAGGGGTGTACCTCTTCTTGTCACTTGCAGAGGCACAGGCCAAGATATGTTTATGCAGCTCAGGCATGTTATCAACACCCTTTCCACACTTTGTGCAGCGAATGGCAGTAGTGAAAGTCTGTGGAATATTGTGGGTAGTGAAGTTTGTGGCCGTTACGCCAATCCCCATGGGGTTTCGATGGTGATACTGAAACGGAGGTGGTTTAAAACTTGGGTAGTGCTGATTGAGACCAAGTCGAACATCTGGATCTTTTGTCTTTATTCCAGAAGCCATTATTTTGATGGTTGTGTAAAGCTCTTCAGAGGAATCATTTAACTCCTCCTCTCTAGAAGTTTCCAAAGGCTCTTCTGGCAAACTCTGTATGTGCTCCACATGGGCCTTACTGGGGTCTGTGAAGTTCTGGGGCCTCAGAGTCCCACTTTCAAACTCATGATGTGTGCACACCTCATCTGGGTGGAGATCTCGCTGGTGCTGTTGTAAATTGCACAAGAAGGCAAATTCTTTCTTACATACGGAACACACAAAGATGTTCCCGACTCCATGAAGCATAAACCGATGCTCTGACAGGTCAGTCTTCCCTTTAAAAAGCTGCACACAAAACTCACATTTGAAGGGCCATTCTTCAGCATGAACAGATAGATGTTTGGTTAGGTCTTTAATGGAAAGGAAAGGTGACTCACAGACATTGCAAACAAAGTTCCTGCTGAATGTCTCTTGGACGACACTCTGCCCACCTGCAGGCGGGGCCTCTTCCTTGGGTTTCAGACCTTCACTCTCTGACTCCTCCTGCTTGAAAGTTATTGCAGGGAGAGGTACTTCCAGGTTGTCCCCAGAGGAAACCACGGATGACACTACTGAGAGAGGGGGTGGTGAGGGGGATGTGGAGGAGCACGAAGAGGAAGAGAAAGAAGAGGAAGAGGAGGAAGAGGAAGAAAGTGTTGGAGGACCAGGGGAAGCAGCAGACACGAGTGGCTCCATGGGAGGAATGGGAGAGGGTGAAGGGGACACTGTTGGGGAGAGAATGGGAAGCGGAGACTGAGCAGTGGCATTTGAGAATGGAGAGGGGCAGTGCTGAGGAGATGCATCAGAAGAGGGATTGGGGAGAGGGACAGTTGGAAGGAGGGGAGGCGGTGGAGTGGCAACAGTTAACACAGGAGGGCAGGGGGGAGGGGAAGAAGGCTCTGTGGGGATCAAGAGAGGAGGTAGCTGAACCGAAGACGGCTGTAGAGAGGGTGATGATGGGCCAACTTCAAGTGGGGACTCAACAGTGGGGGCTGAGCAACTCGAGTCAGGACCAAGTTCAAGATCTGGCTGTGTATCTGGGGATTTACAAGGACTTGGGCTCCTGGTCACCTCGGGTGTGGTTTCCGTAGGTAAGCTAACACCGTTATACTCATTGAGAAGAACCTTTTGTAGCATGCAGGTGGTTGGTTTCTTCTTCTTTGCAGCACCACAGGCTGGCTGTGCCGAATGGTTCTCTTTGAATTCCTTGCCTTCAGTATCACAAGGCTTTTTATGCACACTGAGATCCAATACGGATTCCCACGGGACCGGAGTCTTGCCCGTGCCCTCTGACTTCTGTTTGACCCCGCTGGATAAATCCAATGGCTGTTGGTTGCACACGCTGCTGAAAGTAGAACTGGCCACCCATTCTTTTATTTTGTATTCGTCAAAGCAAGGAGGGCTTCCAGTCTCTCTCTCATCTCTGCCAGACAGACTCCACGCTGGTGAGTCACTCCGGCTTTCTAATTTGGGTTTCTTGGAAGTCAGGACTGTGTCTGTCCACGCTGCTTTCCCATCACTTGGTTTCCCAAAGTCTCGAAGGGCAGGGCTGTGCTGTGGGGAACTGGGCGGAGAGCTGGTGCGCCTCTTAAACCTACTGGAGGTCACAGGTAACATGGATGCAGGGGAAGACACACACACGGGACCTAACTTAGGGATCTCAGCTGCTGACATCCCTGCAGGAGGAGTCAGTTTGTCCTGGGTCTGAAGAAGCTGCTTGAGCTTTGAAGACAAATAGACACCCTTCTCTTTATGGAATGACACCACCTCTGTTGTTGAGATGCTCAGAGGCAAACTTAAGGAACACGAGGGTGCTGTGGAGTCAGAATCTGTCTCAGCTTTAATTTTGGGGAGCACAGGTGGACTGGCAGTTCTTCGTTTCTTGGACTCACAATTTGTGCTACTGGGTGACTCTTTAGGAAGATCATCTGTTACAGAGACCTGGGTGCTCTTTATATTTTGAGTAATTTCCACAGTTACTGGGGTGAGCAGACAATCTATGCCATACAAGTGTGCAGAATTAGACTCCATCTCAATCACATCACAATTACTAGTGCTGTTGTTGGTCTGAATCTTACCATCAATATAGTAATTTAGATTTTCAGAGATGTTGCTTGAAATGTCCATGATGTAAACATCATCAGCTTCCCCTTCCTCCTCTGGCTCTGTGCTTGGTACATAGACATTCTGGGAGGGTGCAGCCTGCTCTGCTGGTGGCTGTGGCTCTTCCAGGAATCCTCCTTTTCGACGGACGCCTTTGGGAATCAGGTGGCGTTCATGAACTCTCCGCTGATGTCGTCTCATATTGGTGTGAGTTCCAAACACCTTTTTGCAGTATTTGCAGGGATGGAGTTCTTTAACTTCACTATTCTCCTCCACAAAAGATGAATTTATAATTTCTTGGGAGGCTTTCTCTGAGTTCAGTATCAGACAGTCTTGCCCAAGTTGAGGCGGACTTGACTCATCTTTAGAAGTGACATTTTCCGCCTTGCCATCATCTGGGTCTTCTGAGGGCTGTGGTGTCACACTGGGTCTTCTCTTTAGCCCTGCTTCGTGGCGGCGTTCATGCCGCCTCCTGTTAATCTGTGTGCCAAACGCTTTGCCACAGTACTTGCACTTGAAAGCATGGTTGATTGTAGACATGTGGATATGCATGTGACGTTCAAGCCCCTGCTTGGTTGCAAATTTTCTTTCACAATGCTGACACGGAAACATGAATGCTTCAAACACATCCCCGTTGGCCTCCTCTCTAGTTCTGGAGATGTGGAGAAGAGGGGCCATGTCTGGAGAGTCTTCACAAGTTTCATTTGAAGTGCTCTGTGGCTCTTCCAGTAAATCCTCTGGCTTCTCTTCACACCGTATCTCTGGCTCTTTCACAGGGCTTTCATTAGCTGTGTCAGCCTCTTCCTCCCCATCTTCCAGCTCCTCCTCCTCTTCCTCTTCTTCCAACTCCTCCTCCTCCTCCTCTTCTCCCTCCTCCTCCTCCTCTACCTCTTCCTCTAAATCATTGACCTCACAGTCTGCGACTTCTTGCTTCCCATCTGGCTCTGGTTGTGGCTCACAGGCGGGGAGAGGGATGGCCACCTGTGGAACTGCATCCTGGCTAATCACCTCAGGGAGAAGGGATGGTTGCTCAGGTGCAGAAGCCAAAGGCCTCTCATCTTCTTCCTTAGGACCTAGGGAGCACAGAGGAGCAGAAGCACACAAATAAGGATAAACTGGCTGCTGTGTGATCAACTCCTATGAATTTTGCTGAAAGACACCCCATTTATTTAGAGCAGAGCTGAGTACAAATTCCTTCCATTGACTTAACTTAGGACTGGGGAATACTCTGGATACTTCAAGACAAGCATGCCCACAGGGTATGGAGCATTTTGTATTTACAATAGTGTCTACAACAGTGTTGTAACAGTTGGTATTAACTCTAAGGACACTAGTTACAAACTTCAGTTTCTCATGACTCAAAGAACTTGGTAACCCTATCAGATTAGATTCTTGACAGTATACCTAAAGGACAGAACTAGAATTCATTCTAGAATATCATCAGTTCTTCAAGTCAAAGACACTTTCTATCTCTTAGATGCCTAATCCAATTGTCATAAACCAGGAGCTCTTCACTGAAGAAAACAGCAATGTCCAATGACTTGTGAGTCTATATGCTCATCTCCACCTGAAGTAGACAGTCCAAGATGAGGGCTTGCTAATGTGGCCACAGTTGAGCAGAGACAAAGAAAATAAGCCATGCCATCCTCTGGTGGACAGAATGAATTATTGGGCAGAGGAAGCAGCAAATACATGAGCTCTAAGTCAAGATGGCACTAAGCAGGTTCAAGGTCAGGAAGGCTGTAGAAGACGGCTGGGAAAAGGCCAAGAGATGAGTCTAGAGATATCGTGAGAAGCTGGCCATTACCCCGAGTCAACAAAGAGGTGGTTCTAACAGAGTCATGCTGCTCACTGGAAGGAAAACAGAAACACTAGGTGGGTAAGGGAGGGAGGTGGGCAAGAAGTGCTCACTGCTCTAGGAGAGGAGCAGGATGGTGACCTGCAGGTAGGATGGGGAAGGTGGTGAAGTAACCAGACCCTGGTACGTGTGTTTTAGAAATGAACCTGACAAAATGTGCTTATTGACTGGCTGTGGGGAGAAACCAGAAGACTGAAGGAAGCTGCAATAATCCTACTTACGAAACCACAGTGAGTACAGGAAGAGCAGGGCATCTATGTATGTACATGTGTGGCAGACAGAAATCATGAGTTTCCTTAGGATGCACTAAAGTTTGTGATATGGTAATATAGTTGTCCCAGTAAAGAAATTAAGTAGAATTTCATAAAAATCTTGAGGTCAACACAGAGATTTGGGGCACCTGCCTATACCCAAGTCCTCAGGGGAGAGAAGTTAATGAGCAATGAACTTCACATTACTTAGAAAGAGAACAGACAGGGAAGGACTATTATCCCAGACACTGAGAGGGTGTGATGGCTAATAATGTCTTTGTCAGCTTGATCCACCTAGGAAGAAGAAACATCAACTAGGAAGTGCCTTCATTACATAAGCCTTTTGGCATGTCTATGGGACATTTTCTTGATTGATGGTTGATGCTGGAGGGTCCAGCCCAACGAGGGCAGTGAAACCCCTGGGCATGTGGTCCCATGCTAAATTAAAAATTGTAGCTGACTTTGAGCCTTGAAAGCAGTTCAATAAGCAGAGTTACTCCATGGTCTCTGCTTCAGTTCCTGCCTCGGCTTCCCGCACTGATGGGCCATAACCCATAAGCCAAATAAACTGCTTCTTCCCAAGTTGCTTTTGGCCATTGCTTCATCACAGCCACAGAACACAAACTAGAACTGAGAGTGAGGAATGGCCTTTAGGCCAAGAAGCAAGTCACAAGGAAGGAATGGTCTTGCTCAGTCCAGAGCTGCAGGATGCTGGGCAAATAAAGGAATAAAACTGGGGTATGCGCCATTTGCCAACAGCCACAGTAGAACAGTGAGGACAAACTTTCAAAGGGAAGGAAGGAAGTGGAAGGAATATTAGGAGCTCTTTCAAGGTTTTCCCTAAAGAGAATGGGCTTGTGGGTGGAAGAGAACAGAAGATGTCCAGATCAGGGCTGTAGGAGGGAGGAGATGCGGGGTGAATGCTGGTAGGATGGTACATAATGTCACCTGCCCGATAAAAAGGGCCAACCTCTATGACATGGAACTCAGTCCCTTCCCCGATAGTCAGCCTCAGAATTCAGAAAACTCTGCAAAAGAGGCAGAGCTACAATTTCTCTACACTGAGGAAACTGGCCAACTCTTCAAGTTTCCTGACAATTCCCTCTGAAGCATACACAGAAGACAGCATGGGTAACACCAGCCTGTTAGAACCCTTAGCCCTACCTCCCACACACATCCACGTTTACAGCAGGGTAAAATTATTACCAACACAAGTTTTACTCTGGCAGAAGCTACACACAGCAAGCAAGAAATTATCCTTTAATAAACTAAAGGCCATATGTGGTATGAAGTGGGCTATGCAGGCTAAACCCAAAGTTCATAAGCATCAAGGGTGTAAAGGGAAAAACAACGGGGGACAATCAGAATGAGAGACAAAAAGCAACCAGTACAGTATCTGAATGCAGAAAGCGTCATTTGGGAAACTGAATTATGGGATGGATAAAGAGATCATCAAGAAAAAGGCATTCCTGAATGCTGAGACCAAGGTGGACACAGTGCTTTTGGAGAATACGATATGAGACAGAGACAGAAACTGTCCAACTGTCAGGATACAACAGACTGTTCACAGACTGGGACCACTGGAGAGAGGAAAGGCTAAAGAGTGGCCTAATGCTACAAGCTCTGCAAATACAAAGGTAAGAACAAAAGTTCACTTAACCACCTGGGCCTCAGCCCTCTCGCTATTTCCTGGAAATGGGGGTCTTGCTTCTACCATCTGCTGCTACCTCATTAGCAATAGGTTCCTGCTTCTAAATAGATAGTCTTCTCTTCCTTAGACACATTCCAGCAAACCCAGAGGGACACCAATAACGGTAACAACACATTTCAAATGAGCTCTTGGACAGACTTTTAACAAGCGGCCAGAACACTGGACAAGTCAACATGGGACAACAGGAATATATTTAGTTGGCTTTCTAGAGTGTGTTTTCAGTGATAATCTGTGGTTTGACAAAGTCTAGAGCAGTGGCTCTCAACCTTCCTAATGCTGATTCTTAACACAGTTCCTCGTGTTGTGGGGACCCCTAAGTATAAGTCATTTCTTTACTACTACTAACTGTAATTTTACTTCTGCTATGAATAGTAATGTAAATATCTAGTATGCAGAACATGTGACCTGATATGTGACCCTCAATGGGGTCCTACAGGTTGAAAACCACTGGCCTAAATTACAAGTGCTTAGTGTACACACTCTTACTAACAAGGCAAGTCCACAAAGCAGTACCTGTCTTCTGGGCTTTCAGGCACAAGTGGGGAGAGCGTGGGTCAGCAGCTACACTAGGCAGCGTGACCCTCACACTGACTAGCAGTGCCACATACTGGGCCTGAGCAGCAAGTGTCTTTTTCATGGTTAAATGGTACAGCAGGAAATAGTAACTCATGAGTTATTAAAGGAACCACTTACTTTTTCAAACTCGACTTTTAAATAAAAATTATTTAGCACTTTTTCTATTGTTCAAACAAATGTCTTAGTAAGTGTTGCTCTCAGTAGGCAAAAGTTAGACTTAAGACTGGCAATGAACTCCTTTCACTGTCACTTCCCCCACTGTGGAAAGCACAAAGGGGGCTTGGGGATGGAGTGGCTCCCCTCCTTCTAGTTAATTCCTTCTGTTTAAAATCACACTGACCTTCTATCTTACTCCCATAGCTACCCTGAAGGCCATGTACACAGTGAACCCATCCATTTCTGAGTCACAAAAGGGAACAAAAATTGTGATTCTTTTGAGTGCCATCATCACTAACAGGACAAACTAAGTGGCCATAAAAGGTATTCAAAATATTGATCCCCCCACTCTCTCCCTCACACAAATGTTTCTTATAAGAGTCACAAATCTGTATTCCAAAACCTGTCTGTGTCATGACAATGCTTGGGCAGTTCCTGTCTCTATGTGAATTTGCCTGTAACAAGAGTTCCAAATATGGAAGCTCAATTGCACCGAGCAGGGAACATTGACTGATGATTAACTTTCAAATTGCCTCTTTGTAAACTCTTACATCATGAAAGACCTAGAATACCAATGCTCAGAGGCATTATCAAGGGGGAAAATAGATCTTTAAATTCTGACCCAGACTAGAAACACTTCTCACTCTGCTACACAAAATCAAAGGTGTCTGATATTTGTAAGTAAATGTTTAATAAAAGTGCAAGACACACACTAACGTAGATAAGGTGTATCATGAAGACAAAATTTTTTCCTAAGTAAACAACGTCTGTGTAACCATTGCTAGTGATAACCTAGAGCATCTTCATGGCTTTCCAGTCTAGCTTCTGTTCGCGCACACACACACACCTCCCTCTCCCTCCCTCCCTCCCTCCCTCCCTCCCTCCCTCCCTCCCTCCCTCCCTCCCTCCCTCCCTCCCTCCCTCCCTCCCTCCCTCCCTCTTTCTCTCTCTCCGCCTGCTGCCTCTGCCTCTCTAGTGCTGGGATTAAAGTCTTGAGCTACTATGCTCATCTTTCTTTATGAATGCAACCATGTAGCATGCTTCATTTTAAGGGGAAAATAATTTTATTTTGAAGAGGTGGGGTATGGGAAGTCAGCTTACATTAAACTCAGGTAGCTTTTTTGCTACTTGGGCCCTCTGTAATTCTTGGCTACTTCCCATGTGGGCTAGGCAGGATACAAAAAGTTAGACGAAGAAATAACACCTAGCTAGATCACTTACCTTCTGCAGAGCCTCTCATGTTTGCAAAGGTAGAGTCTGACTCACTTGACTTCAGCTGTGTGGCCTGGGTTCTGATGCCTTTATTTTTATTCTCTTGGGATTTCTTCTTCCCTGAAACACAGCATATATTTATTTACTCATTCATTCATGATCACTCTGACCCTTGACACAATTATTAACTGAAGCAAAGTAAACTGTATTTGTAAGCATTTATTTTGGATTTCCAAAAAGGAATAGTTGATTGACTATAAATACCATCAAATCTGTCAGAGACAAAAGAAATTCATTAAGTCCTAGATTTTTAGATGCTTAGTTCTTAGTTTCATAGCTGTAATAGCTATCAAGTTAATGAACAATGTGCTTACAAAAAGTTAATAGGGAGTGTGCGTAGCAACCCACCGCCTTTAATCCCAGCACTTGGGAAGCAAAGGCAGGCAGATCTCTGATTTCAAGGCCAGCCTGGTCTACAGAGCTAGTTCCAGAACAGCCAGGGCTACACAGAGAAACCCAGTCTCAAAAAAACAAAACAAAATAAAATTAATAATGATATAAAAGAAACTTTAGCATCAACGAAGTTTGAAATTATATAAATAATATAGACAAAGTCATATTAGAGAGAAGCCAATGAGGTATAACTTAGAACCTTTTATTGGTTAAGATAGGATAACCCATACCTGCAGCGTCTACTTTAGAAGTAGACATTACACTGCATTATAAAGGATAAATATGGCTCCAACATCAAATGCAGAGGGACCACTAATAATTCCATCAGCCAGCATAGCCCTTATTTCATTAATAACATGGCGAGAAGCACACAAAATTCAGGAACTACTGTGTTCCAAATGATCCTAAATCACAGGTTAGATAAAAACACTTTGACATCTCCTGGGAAGCACCAGCGATCTGAATCCCCAAAGGCACACAGGTCCATCCTAAAGGACTGACCCCAACCTGGCAATGAGACCCAGGCGAGTCTCTAGCCCCCCCAAACACTCCCTTGTCTTTCTTCAGCACTGCTCTCCTCACCACACCACACCACTCCCCCAAACCCACGTTTCCCTGCTTTTCCTGAACAAGCCTTTACCACCTTCATATCCACCTCAGCTAAAGACAAACAAGAAACCACTCATCACTCCGGAACATGGAGAGGTCACATTCTCACTAGTCTCAATAACAGATGATAATGAGAGGAATGACTGGTCAAAATGAAGACAACCAATGAAAACTAATGTCAGAAACACAAAATGGTATAACCAAAAAGATCATTAGATTAAAAGTACAGAAATCAACTATAATACAAAGTACTAACCAAAGAGATTGGTAATTTAACAGATACAACAAGAAAGCAAACTACACAAAACAAGCCATTTAGTTTGCTAGTTTCTAAAAGGAAAATCCTAAAACATTTTAAGTGCCTAAATCTTTAGCCAGTAGGAAAATAGGCTTGGATTTTTTTTTTTAATTTATTGTACTGGGTTAGAAGTTCCTGACAGTACGCCCACATGTTCTTTTCCCCATGCAGCTAAAGTAGAACACATGCACACACATGGCCAGAAGCACCTCTGCTCTGGTATGAACAGAAGTCAAAGGGCAGAGGATCACAGCAATGGTTGATCCCATCTCCAGGTGAAGAATCAGATTAACTGGCACCACATGAGGCAGACACACAGGCACCTCCCACTGGGGGAGGCTCTTCAAGACCCCCTTCTCAATCTTACAGAGCTAACCCAGCAGACACACAGGACCTTCTACAGAAGAGGGCAGTTCTCCAGACTCACGTGTATTGGCCTTACACTGATTAATCTAAAACTGTCAACTGCTGACAAAGGCTCTTGAAGGTTCTATGTTGAATCTGGATTCTCTTCCCCTTTCAACATTTCCTTATCCTCAATGTCTATGTCCTTCCTGTGTGATGTTCAGTCTGAATGAGATTAGTTACTCCAAACAAAATGCATGCCATATACACACACACACACACACACACACACACACACACACACACACACACACACACACACACACACACACGTAACCTGAAAAAAATAAATGACCCAGAGACTGATATTGATGTTCAACCTGCAGATCAGGGAAGCAAAGCAGCCAGCCACTCGCTCTCGACTCAAGCTCAGGCTTAAAGGGCTGACCCATGCATAAGCTCTTCACCACGTCTCAAACTGCTATCTCTCCTCAGCGTGGCTGGAGAATCCTGAGACTGAATGTCTTCCTATCCTCCTTGATAGTGAGCCTTCCTATCTTCAGTATGGCTGGAGAATGAATTCCTTCTACTGAATACTGAAGACCCTGCGTCCATCTTTTATAACCCTCTCTACTGCTGGGATTAAAGGCATGTGATCTGTTACCCTTTTAGACTGATTCAATCTCTTGTATCCCTGGGTGGTCTTGGGCTCACAGAGATCCATCTACCTCTTAATCCCAGTCCTAGGATTAAAGGTGTGTACCACCACCTCCTAGCTTCTGGTTGCTGGGATTAAAGGTGCGCCTGGCTTCTATGGCTTGTGGCTGACTTTACTTTCTGAATCTTCAGGCAAGCTTTAATAAATCATAAATAATATATCACCACACAAACACACATGACAATCTGCCAATAAGTGCAGTTGAACTGCTCCGGTATTCCAAGGCCAGCAGCAGAACCTTCAGACATTGCACTCAAAAGTTACATACAGAGATGTTTTTCCTAAATGAAAACCACATCTTTTTATTTATGAGTACTACCAGTACTCATTATAGTCAGTACTACCTCATGTCCTCAAGCAGGCTAAGAAATAGGACCCTTTTCTATCACTGTCTACATGTTTTTAAATGGATAATTGTAATATAAACATGGCCTTTGCAATAAGCTTCATATACATTAGAAATAAAAGCATACTGTGAAATTTACTAGAAAAACAGGTGTCAGTCTGTTGACCACAATACCTTGCCACGGCAATTAAAAAATTTTCTACAAGCCAAGTGATGTACCATGCCCAAGTAGCACCAGTTGAAACATGAAGCATATCAGGCATATGGACACAAAATATTAAATATATTTCTATTATAATAAAACATGCAAAGTGATAAACTCAAAATGTAGCTGTTTAAGTATGTGAAAGACAAATGCTATTTACACTGTATCCCCCACCTTCAAAAACAAAACAAAAGGCCACTAGAACAGAGAGCTCATACCACATGTCCACTAGAACAGAGAGTTCATACCACATGTCCCTTTCTGTTAGTTTGTTTTCTAGTCCCCAAGTAGTTACTGTAAAGCCACAGTCATGGAAATGCAATCCATTGTGAGGACAGACACCATGAGGGTGAGCACCTCCTGTACCTTCTTCAGAGGACAGAGGAGGGACAGGAGCACACCACAGTCACAAACAGAGCAGCTATCACAGCGACACTCTCAGTCACACAATTCTCTGCTATGAGGAACGTTGCCTCACCAGAGTATTTTCATAGCATCTTGCAGAGGAGCAGGGGTGCTCTACCAGCAAGGTCCAGCAATAATGCCCCTCTTCCAGTGTGGCAACGTAAACTCAGAACACAGCAACATCTCCCCTGTTCTCTCTGTGGGGAGATCTCTCAAATGTCAGGGCACTGGATTAAACCAATGTACTGACTCTGAACTCACAACTGACACATGGTCTATTATATAATTACAGTAAGTCTTAAATAGCACTAATATAACAATTCTATAGATGAAGAAATGAGACCACCAAGGTAACTTAGAGAACAACAACGGATTGTGTGGCAACAAGTCTAGTAAGACTATCACTTGTTCACGGAGCTAAGCCTGACATCTGCATTTTCTCAATTAGAGCTATTTATCAAGATAACTTCTCCTGAGGCCCTCTGACTAGAGATGAAGGGGCTACCAAAAAAAAAAAAAAACAAAAAAAACAAAAAAAAACCACATGACTGTCTCATTAGAGTGCTATTTTGTGAGACACTGAAGGCTCGGATCCCAGAAGAAAAAAACACATCTATGACAGAAAACAAGTTAAACTCTGCTCCCACGTATGTGTGAGTACCTGTAATCACAACAGCAGTACTGTTAGACAGATGAGGACCTGCCATATTTCCTTAATCAGAAATGTTCCTTCCAGGTCCCTGGTTTCTGTCTGCTACACTATAAAGGAGATCATGAGATGAAACAAAGCAGCCTATCAGAGCTTCCCTGAAGGGGACAGTGGCTTGTAGGTGCCGCTGGGTGGCTGGCAAGTACACGAGCGCACTTACCAGGGCTCCTGCAGGGTCCTACAGGGCGCTACTGCCAGCTGGCTGCTCCACTTGGTCTAGACAAGAAAGATACAGGAACGAAACATGAGGAAAGGGAAATGGGAATGAATGGCCACAAGGAACAGCATGAGGAACAACACCTGATGTGTTAGGGGAAAGAATGTGCCCATAAAAATGAAGAAAAAGAAAGCAAGGAGCAATTATCAACTACTTCAAGTCCCCATATACAAAAGAAAAAAAGCCACTCCTATGTCCTTAAGTTGATGACATTAAGATCACTGTCAGGCCTGTGCCAAGCCTATGTTATATGACACAACGACCACACTATCTATGGGCCATTCTCAAAGTACCAACCCATGCCTCTAATTCATAGACACCCACAGATCAGAGATGGGAAATCTTTCAACTGTAACTCAGGAGCCAGAATTAGTGAAGACAATACCACTCAAAGTGTTCTTTCTCTTGCTGCCATCCTTAAGCTCAGTGATGGCTCAGTCCACACGCCCCATTCTTGGCATCATTACTAGCCTGATAAATGAAACCCTTCCACTCAGGCTGGAAGGAAGCACTCTTCCATTTTCATTTTACCTTACCTCAAATAGTAGCAGTCAATCCCACAGAACCCTGCTCTGAACAAACACACGCCAAGGAAACAGGTTTCTAGTCAAACAGCTGCCATATAAAGACACTCAGCAGTTGTAATGGCTGCTTTCTTAGATAATGGACAGCCTCATACTGCTGGTACCCAGGGCAGGAATTACAAAATCAGAATTGCTTAAAGCAGCCCATGAATAACTTAATCCAGATATGGATGAACTATGTTCTACTATTCGAATAAACTAGACAAACACCAGGAAACTCTACAGAATGTT